CTTCATAGATTCTGATTCCAACCAGTTTTTCTTCCTTTGTTCAGGAGCCTCTGACCAGGGTTGCTACCAGTCGGCCATCTTCCCAGAATCCCCGGGTTAATCTTTTAATGATACTTTCTACTGTTTTCAAATTCCCTGAATGACTCCTTGAAGTCCTTAAGCTTCAATATATCCTTGCAGCAGCTTTCCCATAAAGTAACTGAACTGAACAGAACTCAGAACAATTAGAATAATTTGCTGGTTTGTATTTTTGGCATCTATTCTGATATTTGAAGACTATATTTGATTATTCTTATTATTCTCTTAATCAACTTTATTTTGGAATATTGCATTAAAAAGTTACTGCCAAATGGAGGCTTCTTTCTAGGTAATTGGGGGAAGTTGGAAGGACATGCATGTGTGTACAGGAAATCTGTGACCTTGAATCAAATTATTACACAGAAATTCATACTCTCTTGTGAGGAATCCTTTGACATAACATTTAAAAAGATTTCTTAGCATAAGGAGATTTATGATAGGCAGTATTGAAATGGTTCATTTGCCACCCATTAAGTGATTAGAAAAGAGGTGATAGTTCATTGATAGCAACCGAAGTACTCATATATGTACATAGAACTGGAAGTTTTCTAGCTGCAAAAGAAGATAATTCAATAATTAAGCAAAAAAAGCACCCAACCCACCTTTCACTACAAATAATGATTCTTCTTTATACGTGAACACCAGTCTTCCATAGTTCAATAAGTAGATATAAAGAATGAAAAATGTTTTGCATCAAAATAAAATGTATAATTAAAAATTCACTTCATTATATTGAAATTTTTCTCTGACTTTAGGGCCATACTAAAAAAACATTTATTCAATTCTGTCCTGTTATATAGATGCCCTGTGGAGACATGGAGATGATAATTTTTGCCAAGCTGGTGTGTTAAATTATCCACTATCAGGAAGTATAGTTTAGAGAGTGATATACACAGGAATGATGGACACAAAATTGAAAAACTGTTGTGTGAGGCTTTTATTATACAATTATATAAATGACCTTAGTTGCCAAGTGTAGAACTACAACACATGATGGTTTTTTCAGTAGAAGAAAGGAAAAGTTTCCCTGTACATGCATTTGAGAAGAAAGTATTCTTAAGAACACCATGTTGCTACAAGAAATGAATGGGGATTTTTAAGTATTTCATATGCACATTTAGGTTCAATTTGTAAAAATACAAAAATGGACAAAGAGGAAAACTGTGTAGATATGAAACAGAGCAGAAATCTTAACAGAAAGAGTTACTTAAATTGCATAAAGAATCAAAGTCATTGAAATTCCAAGAGACAAATAGAAGAAACAAATTCTAAATCCACAATTTGATTTGATTTTCTTCATTTCTGGAGTGAAAATTTGAACCCTGTTATCACAGGCACTTCTTCGGCTCCAGAACAACTTACATTTTCACAGTTTCCCTCCCAAGAAATCTTCTTAGAGCTCGCTTTATGTCTTTATTCCTCAGACTGTAGATGAAGGGGTTCAGCATGGGGGTGACCACTGTGTATATCACTGAGGCTACTGCACTGGAGTGTGAGTTGCTGGTGGCAGCAGAACTGAGGTACACCCCTAGGATTGTACAATAAAATAAGGAGACCACTGAGAGGTGAGATGCACAGGTGGAAAATGCTTTATACTTCCCTCGTGCTGATGAAATAGCACGTATGGAGCAAACTATCTTAGTGTAAGAGTAAAGGATCCCAGCAAGAGGAAAACCAGCCAGCACCACAGCTGCAAAATACATCACCATCTCATTTAAAAAGGTATCAGAACAGGCAAGGTGGATTATCTGATTAATTTCACAGAAAAAGTGGGGGATTTCCAAGTCTGTACAGAAAGTCAGCCACAGCATCATCATACTTTGTAACAAGGAATTCAGGGTACTTATAAACCAGGATGCCAGAACCAGCAGTGAACAGAGCCTGGGGTTCATGATGACAGTGTAGTGTAGGGGGTGACAGATGGCCACAAATCGATCATATGCCATCACGGTCAGCAGAAAGATGTCCAGTCCTGTAAAGAGTAGGAAAAAGTACATCTGGGCAATGCAGCCTGCATAGGATATAACTTTGCTCTGTGTCTGCATGTTCACCAGCATCTTTGGGACTGTTGTGGAGGTGAAACAGATGTCCACAAAGGACAGGTTGGAGAGGAAGAAGTACATGGGGGTGTGGAGGTGGGAGTCTGTGCTGATGGCCAGGATGATGAGCAGGTTCCCAAGCACGGTGACCAGGTACATGGAAAAGAAAAGTCCAAATACGAAGGACTGCATTTCTGGTTCCTTTGAAAGTCCCAGGAGAAAGAATTCTGAAATTCTTGTATCATTTCCTGGTTCCATGTGGTGGAGGTGACTATCAAGAAAGAGAAAGATAACATGAGTCATTTTCACTCAAGAGAGTATCACTCACATATTTAAATCTTGTAATCTATATTTTCAGTCAAGAAATTAATTTCTATATTTTGTGTACGGAACTTATTTCTTGTCTTATGCCCCCCAGAACTATTTCTGATTGAAAATTCCTATCCCCCCCAAAAAAGAAAATTCCTGTCCCATTCTCAACCTTTCACCAAGAGTTTAATGAGAAATACTTTCATGCATTTGAGTTATATAAATAGAGTACTGAATATATTCCAGGCACTGTCTGGGTAATGAACATAGCTTGCTGAGAAACTGAATCCTTACAATTCATTTTGATGGAAAAGGAATATGAACTGATAAAGAAATTATCATGTAATATGTTAAATGATTATAAGTTCTTAGAACAAAATGAAAACAAATGTGAAAAAAAATGGATAAAGGGTGCTATTCTTTTATGGTGTCCAGCCAAGACAACGTGACATTTGAACAGTGACCTCCAGGAAGAGAGGGTCGGAGCCCTGAGGATATCTGGGAAAGGGTATGCCTGGCAGAGGGAATGATTAATGCAAAAGCCCTGAAGGGGCTTGTTTCAGAAAACCAAGGTTCAAGAAGAAGCCACTGTCATGAAGCAAATGAGCAAGAGTGGCAGTGATGAGAGATGGTGTCAGGGATGTTGGAGAACAAGATGATCTCCTCTGTGCTGATGAAACTTCAAGACACTGACAGTCCCTCATTCAAGTGTTGTTCCAAGCCCTTTGTAGCCATGATTACAGAATAAAACTGAGTCTCAAAAAAAAGATAAAACCACTCAGATAGGGAGTATGGAGGTTTATGTCCCTTTTTATGTCATCACACTATCTTAACTTTAAACCTTCCCAACTCCAAAGAACAGATCAGAACTTTTTCTTGTCATTTTCTGTCTAGACTGTATCACCTTTTGCCATTGATGTTGGGCCCACAGAGGCTGAAAATCACTATACGTTCCCCAGTGCTTGCCCAAGTGCACATATAGGACATGACACCAATTTAAATGCACAGTCCGTGCTTGAGTGCAGTGCTGAATCCCCACTTTCACCTCCTGCACTCATTGGCACCTTCTGAATCTGCCAAGGGCTGTCTATCACTTTTCGCAATCTACACAACTCTGACCTATGTTGAGAAAAATTGAACTATCTTCTCTGAGGCTTCTAGGAAGTGGTCTTGTAATGTGGCATTAAACAAGGATGGTTTGTTTAGCAGTTTTTAATGGTCAGACTGGAAACAATTACTTCCGTTTGTAACTCTAGGTCCCTTGTTGAGATTGCAAGAGAAAGCAGCTGTTAGTCCTATGAGTTTCCCAAGAAATAGGAATACCACGACCACTCACTCAATCTATCAACAAGAAAAGCATTTGTAGAGCCCCTAATTCTAAGTCCAGCACTGTTCAGGGCATACAAGAAAAGCATTATGTGTACTATAGTGACATGAAACGAACATACCTCCCTAAGTGGCAGTCTTTTCACCTATAAAATGGACACATTATCTACCTCACAGTGATCTTGAAAGACACTGTTGGCAAAGTTCCAGCCAAGGTTTAATGTCCTTATTGTATAAGTTATTTGTATAACACCTTTATACTTTCCTTTGTAACACCTACCACAATGACAATTATGTTAAATATTTGTCTCCCCTGAGACAGGCTGAGTTTTAGGAGATTAATGTGTATTTCATTTGCTCTATTTTCTCATAATAATTGACACATAACACAAATTCATTAAATGTTTGCTGAACAAATGAATGGAATTCAATATGTGTTAGCTCTATTTCAGTAAAAAAAAAAAAAAATCCAAAGAAAAATTAAACAACCACCACCACAAGACTCCAGTACATAAAAGCAAAGAACTTGCAAAGACAATTTGCAATAGAGAAAGAAAAAGACTAACAAACTGAAAAATACATTCAGCCTTAGCAATAATGAAATAATTGCAATATAATCATGCCTTAGTTCCTCCCTTTGACTACCAAATAAAACTTATTTTTTAGTACATTTTAAATACATTCAGCCTTAGCAATAATGAAGTAATTGCAATATAATCATGCCTTGGTTCCTCCCTTTGACTACCAAATAAAACTTATTTTTAATGTGGCTACCCACATGAGAAAAAATATTGTGAAATGTTATGCCTTATGAGCTGCTGTTGCAGTGAAGTATTTGTAAGCAATATATTGATTTTTCATTTTTGTGATGAATACAGAAACATGCTCCAATACACCCTATCTTTAAAGTTAAGGAAACACCCGTTCTTTACTGTGCCTTCCTCCACACACCCAATATTCCTATCTCCTTACTGCAAAATTCCCTGAATACTTCCTAATCATAAGGAAAATACTTTGTAACCCCTTCTCCTTCAGTCTCATCCTATTGAACTTTCATAGTCATCACTTGATTGGGAACAATAATTCTTGCATTGCTAAATCTAAAAGACACTTTTCTTTTTATCATCTTAAATAATTTAATTACAAAATCCATTAGTCAACCAGGAAAACAAACATTTCAGTATGGGCTAGACTTATTTGGCTCTCAGGTGATCTTGGGCGAACATACTAGGCTTCCATTCTCTCTGAACTTTCCTGCAGGGACTATTAGGTTCTCCACCCACCTGTATCAGGTCCCAGGGAATAATGTCTTTGTGTGAAAGTCTGAATTCTATCTTGGATAGTTGATGATGGACACCGAAGCTCTGTCTCCAGACAAGACAGCAGGAAGGAGTGAAACATCAGTCTCTGAGCCAGACTTAGGACTCCAAAAGGAGAACCACCTCCCATCCAGCCCAAGGTTGTACACTGGAGTGGACACAAGCATAGGATCTACTCACAACTATTTATGCTCCCCAGATACAAATACCTCTTGTAATGCCAGTCCCTCAGCACCTGGCTTTCCTGTGGGACAATGGTCTGAGCAAAAAGAAAAGTTTTCCTGCTCAGTCTATGTTCCCAAGAGACCAGGTTAGAAGTAAGGTATATCTGGTCTTTATTGCTCCTTCTCTGTGAAATCTCCTGCCTTCCAAAGGTCTAAATGTTTTAGCACTTTTGCCCAATTTTTCGTTAAAATTTCCTCCAAAGTCTGTGGTATCTGACTCTCTTAGGTCCCTCAGAACTCCAAAGCATTGTCTTCTTTGGAGCTCTGATGGTTTAGAAAATCACTATTCCTCCTCCATCAAGGGAGGGAACTTTGTCCACTTGGCATAAAACCATGGGTGGTTACTACAATATTTGGTCTCGTGATGCTTTTGATAAAACACAAGTTTCATGCTTGAAACACGAGTTAAAAACTTCCATTTTCTTCTCTAGTTATGAAACATTTGGTCATAAAAAGAGATTTATTATGATCTTTGTATGCACCATAGACAGAAGTTAAGAATCTTTTTTTCACCAGTTTGATGAGAGTATTTCAAATTGTATATGAAAACACCACACTATACTCCGTGATTGCATTAATGTACACAGCTATGATTTAATTAAAAAAAAAGAATCTTTTTTTCAAATAAAAAGATTTTTTTTAATTGTTGGGGAATCACTGAGGATACAAAGAACCAGGTTACAGTTATTGCATTTGTTAGGTAAAGTCCCTCTTATAATTGTGTCCTGCCCCCCAAAAGGTATGTTAAACATTTTTTGCTGACTTAAAAAAATAACACATACTTATCTTAAAATTTTGAAATATAGAGATAATTATAAAAAAGAAAATAAAAATCGCTGACATTTGTTTTGAGAGAAACATTGTTGACGTTTTGTGACTTTTAAAAAATCTTCTCTTCTTCACTCCTACATACAAAGCATGTGTTTGTGTCCTTTGCTGAAATGAAGTCAGAGTCTAGATACAGTTTTATATCCTGCTTTTTTCACTACAAATATGATGAGCATTTTCCTTGTGTCTTAAGCATATGATTTTTCATCTCTCTGTATTATACTGTTCTATGGAATTTTATAATTCAACCTTTTTCTACACCTATCATGTATAAACTAAAGGAAGTCTTCCATTTAGAACGCCATACATAATCAATGGCATCTGATTGACAAAGGCACTTCACTAAAGTAATGGCTTTCTAAAGCAAGACTCACATGTTTCCTACAGACCCACTCAGAGAAGCTGGTGGCAGACATACAGGGAACTCTGTCAAATGTGGACAACTGAGCCCCCATAGTGATGATTCAAACCTTAATTCTCTCTGATAGGATGGATAAACCTTATCTTCCCTATTTCAAGCCTTGGCATCTTGCTTCAAATCATCATGTAATACCTAGATACCAGTTGTTTTCCTTTTCAAACTTTTATGATGGAATACTTCCTATACTTGCATCCTACAGTTTCCAAGTACACTTTTTATTTGCATTTCTAAACTTTATTTTTTCTTTTGTGAATATTTTAAACTTAGAAATATTAGTATTAATATGAAATCCAAGAGTAACCATACGTACTTCTTCCTTCTCTCTATCTCACCAGGCACATCAATATTTTTATTATTATTTCAAAATATTAATGGAGTACCAATGTCTTAGATTACATGATTCATTTTTGTAATGCTTGTGTCCTGGCTGTAGATGTGCCTGTCACTCAAATAGTGTTCATAGTCCCCATTCGGTTTGGTTTATTCCCCTCCCCTCATCTCTGCACCCCAGTTGCTTTCCACTGGATTGTGTTGTCTAATTTTTAGATGTGTCCATTACATAGGCCAAAATATTGTTAGGGACTTGTTTTGTACTTTCTGAAATGGGGTCAAAAATGTTAAGTGATCTGCCCACAGGTATAAACTGATAGATGAGCTTTGACTGAAACTCCATCAAGATGTTTTTAGTTCTCACACTCTCAGTCAGTGGTTCTCAACAAGCGTGTGATTATGCATCTGGGAGAAGCCTGGGAATATCTGGGGAAACATTCAGTTGTCACCACTGGGGAGGAAGGGTTATTACCTAGTACGTTGAAGCCGGTAATACTTCTC